CTACTTGATCCTTCTTCAAGAGTTTGAAGATTGGCTCACAAATAGCAGTCAAGTGAGATATGAAACGGGCGATGTAATTGAGACGACCCAAAAGTCCTCTAACTTCCTTTTCATAGTGGGGAACTGGCATTTCTTGGATGGCCTTTACCTTGGCAGGATCAACTTCAATGCCTTTACTGCTGACAACAAAACCTAGAAGCTTTCCAGATCGTACTCCAAATGTACACTTGTTAGGGTTTAACCTCAATTTGTACTTTTTCAGCCTTTCGAATAGCTTGTACAGGTGATCAAGATGTTCCTCTTCAGTTTGTGATCTGTTGATCATATCATCCATATATACCTCTATTTCGTGATGGATCATATCATAAAACAGAGCTACCATAGCCCTTTGATATGTTGCCCCTGCATTCTTCAATCTGAACAGCATGACCTTGTAGCAAAAGGTTCCCTATTGCGTAACGAAAGTTTTCTTCTCCATGTCTTCGGGAGCCATCCTTATTTGATTATAGCCAGAGAAACCGTCCATGAAAGAGAAGACTTTATGTTGAGCAGTATTATCGACCAAGACATTAATATGAGGTAGAGGGAAGTCATCCTTGGGGCTTGCCCTACTCAGATCCCTATAGTCTATGCACATACGAACCTTTCCGTCTTTCTTTGGCACTGGAACCACATTTTCAACCCATTGTGGATAAGATGTCACAGCTAGGAACCCTGCATTAAATTTTTTCATCACTTCAGCTTTTATCTTTTCAGACATGTCAGGCCTCATGCGACGAACTTTTTGTTTGACAGGAGGACAATCTTCCTTTGTCGTCAGACGATGAACTACGATGTTGGTATCCAACCCTGGCATATCTTCATACAACCAAGCAAACACTTCCACATACTCATGCAACATCTGAACCAATCTGCTCTTGACACTAGTTTCTAGGTTAGTGCCGATCTTGACTTCTTTTGTGTCTGTCTTAGTACCTAGATTGACGACTCCAATTGACTCTTCGTGCGACTGAATAGCTTTTTCCTCTTGTAATAAAAGTCTGGCTAGTTCTCTCGGTATTTCACAATCTTCCTCGCCTTTGTCTTCGGCTTGGTTAATTGGACATTTGAAGTCATAGTCGGCAATAGTAGAGTCATTAGAAATAAGATCCAGAGTGGACGAGGACCTACAAGTGTGTGTGTGTGTGTGTGTGTGTGTGTGTGTGTGTGTGTGTGTGTGTGTGTGTGTGTGTGTGTGTGTGCGCGTGTAAGATACATGGCTATTTTGAAAAATGTATTTGAAGAAAAGAAAGACAATGAGCACAAAGATTTGAATGAAAACGAGTCCAATGGTTTGTATTGAATGATCATATGATTAGATGAACATAAACAAAACCCTTGACAAATGGACCAAAGTGCCCCAGGCCAGGCACATGGCTTAAAAGTCATTGTTAAATATTATAGATAAAATGTTCTTGAATTCAATAAAAGCAATAAACAAGTAGATTACTCCTTAATGAAGGAGATGGGCACGAAGTCCTTTGCATGCCAATTCTTTAGCTCTGTTGTAGATGGACACACCCAATCTTCAAATGCAGCTTCATCATCCGAATCACCCACGGCATTAACTTCATGGATTCTAATACGGAGAGGTGGCTTTCCTGCACGAGTACGCCTCATTTCCTTATGAGCCTTGACGGTGAAACCCAAACCAAATTTATCTGCTTTGAATGAGATCTCGAGGAGTTTCCCACAAGTATCACAGCTTCCTTCTTCAATTGCAGCATGAGCATCTTCAACTGAAACCATCTTCCGCACGACCTTAACAGCTTTAGACACATCAGAGGAACATTTGGCAGTGGCAATCATTGGTGGCACAACTTCAAAGGCTTGACACGGGGTCTCAATGAATTCTCCATCCATCTCCATGTATTTGAAAGAGTTGAGGTGGCTCACCATGAACTCCTCCTCCCCACAGACAATGATAATTCTTCCTTTGACTGGATACTTGAGCTTTTGATGAAGAGTTGAGGTTATTGTCCCAACTTTATGGATCCAAGGGCGACCCAACAAACAATAATAGGCAGAATGGATATCCATGATGTAGAAGGTGGAGTTGAAAACTTGTGAGCCCACCTTTATTGGAAGATATACCTCTCCATGAATTATCCTTTTCGATCCATCGAAGGCCCTTACAATGATATCACTTTGTTTCAAGACTAAACCTTCACAGTCCAAATGGTCTAACGCCCCCTTGGGTAGCACGTTTAAAGAAGAACCAGTGTCAACCAGCACATGTGCTAGGGTGGTCCCCTTGCACTCGATAGAGACATGTAGAGCTTTATTGTGGTTCTTCACAAGCGGTGTTAGATTGGCATCTGAGAACCCTAAACCATTATCAGCCGTCAAGCTCACCACGTAATTCTCAAACTGGTCCGTTGTGGTCTCATAAGGGACATGAGCCTTTTTTAAGAATTTGATTAATGCCCGAGCATGGGCATCGGAACAGAGTAGCAATGCCAACATAGAAATCTTAGAAGGGGTTTTCCCCAACTGTTCCACAATCTTGAAATCGCTCCTTTTTATGATTTTCAAGATCTCGTCCATCTCACGAGCGGAAGGTTCTCCATCAACAACGTCCTTTGTAGGTATTTCTATCTCGACCGGCTCAACAACTTTCTCCATCCCTCTTGTATCAGTACTTGGTCTAGCAGCAGTGATGCGGATGGGTGCCTTTGTAACAATTGGTGGTGAGATGTTGGGTGAAAAGATTCTCCCAGTTCGGATTACCTTACTTGAGCCATTTATGTTACCAACATCGTCAGCTTTGTCTTCTTCGATCCAAGCGTCTTGTTTTATCCCATGGTAAAACACCTCAGCACCATAGTTCCATGGCACTGCCTTGTTTGAAGAGTATGGAATTGGTCCGGGATTGGTAATTATTAGGGGAGTAATAGTTGGTTCATTTAAAATCCTAATAGGACCTTTGGAGGAGATCCTAAGAGGCTTGTTTGAGATGGTTATAATGGAGAGATCACTACAAGAAAATTGGCAGATTGCGACAGGTATTTTTGTAGATTACGACGGTTAAAACCGTCGCAATTTGCTTTCCACGACGGTTGCTTTACCGTCGCAGAAGTGTGTGTCCCCAACCTATTTCGCGACGGTTACAAAAACTGTCGTTCAAGTTTACGACGGGTTGATACCGTCGTGACTATCTTTTGAGTTTCTTTTAATTATTGATGGCGACGGTTCGATACTGTCGTGAATATCTTTTGAAATTGATTAAATTGTTTATGGCGACGGTTCGATACCGTCATGACTTTTGTTGATTATTTTTAATTGTTGATTACGACGGTTCAGTACTGTCGCCATGGCTTTTGTTTATGTCTTGATTTTTTTTTATTTTTCTATTATATATATTTTTTATTTAAATTATTATCTATGTAAAAAATTTTAAATATAGTTTTTTTTTTGTGTTATTTTTTTCTTTAAATTATTTCTTCTTTAATATATTTATTTATAGTATTATTTTTTGTTTTATTTTCTATCACTTTGTAATATAGTAAAAATAATTTCAATAAAAAATATTTAACATCAAATAAGCATTATAATATCCAAAAAAATGTGTGTTCCATAATCATGTAAAATGCGAGTTCCATAATCATGTCAAGTAGTACAAAAAACCCAAAATATATCAATTCCTAATCTTATAATAATAAGTATCATTATGCCAAAAATACATGAGAAAGTTCATAATCTAATTATCTCGATCATAGCAAAGTCTAATTTGTCCCCCCTGAAGTTCCGTTATCTCCAATACGGTAGCTAGACTCAGATGAACGTCTACCATCAGCGGGTGATTCCAATCCCTAAAAAAATGTATTAAAATAATAATCTTTAAAATAATACTCATAAAATTTAACTTTAAATGCGTCAAAATAATATACCTGTCTTCCACTAAAATTCTGCATTTGCATTAAGAGTTCAATTTTCTTTGTCCTCGCCTTGTCCCTTTGCGTTAAGAATATGATTGCCTGTGTTAATTCATCAATTTTTGAATTCTTTTCTTTAAGTGCATTAATTTCTTCTTGCATTTCCTTTATGATTTATGACGCTGTTTTAACCCAGGGACTGGAAATCAGTATGCAATGTGTTAGAAACCCAAGAATTGAGTTCCAAAGAAAGAACACTTTTTTTATTAAGAAATATGATAGAATAGGAGAGAATTCTCCCAACTTAGATCCTACCACAGGGTCAAAAGTAAATGATATTGACAAGAAAGGCTTTTATATAGAAGATCAAATCATCAAAAGTACAAGGACAATGGTAAGTTTACATAATCCTACGTAAAATCGATGATGACAGATATATTAAATCAATATGCACGACTATAATAACATGAATAGTCATCTATTTAGCAGGCCCGGTCTACATTGTGCCATTATATTTCCTTGAAATCGCTTGAATAGATGTATTACACTACACAGGGTTTCAGCAATAAAGCATATATGTAAATATTTTCAATTTCAACTGACTCCTTACTTACGTGCAGATAGAGAACCGGGTGAATTGCCAAAACCTTGGTTAAAAGGAGCTCCATTTTGAGAAGCCTTCAATAATATCCATTGTTATTACATGTTAAGGGTAAGACAAATCACTAAACATATTTAGAAAAAACTAGAATTGTAAACTCACTTCAGCTAGAGCACGGGCTTCCTTGAATGAACTTGATTCATCAACATCTTTAAATCTTTCAAAAGCATTCTTCTGCACAGTTTCTTCTGGAGACACATCTACAAAAGCTGCAATAAATAAATATTTATCAGGAAAATTTTAATTCCAGCAAATTTATATGGACACACTTCACAATTTGTTATAATTCAAAGCAGTATGTTTCCATCATGAGCACAAACTCCTTATGGTGAGACACAGCTAGCTAATACAAATCCTCATCAGTCATCCGGAAAGGCGTGAATAACTTGGCAAATATTTTATCTTGACCAACAAACAAATTGAAATCAATGGGGGCCTGAAACTCCAGGGAAGAGTTCAGATATTTTATAGAAGACATCCATGACCTGAAACGTAAAGAGAAAGACGGAAATGTAAAATTCAATGTACAAGAGGCTAAAAATGCTTCCAAGAAAGACAAATTGAAGGTATCATAATACCTCCTTATCATTTTGATATTTAGCAATACTCATTGGATTCTGTGAATACTGCAACCAAAACAAGAAGCACTCAGAGATTTGATATGAAATATTAATGAAGTGGTACTTAAAGTAGAACTTACATCCATGATAGCTGCTTGAACTCTAGGATTTTGAAATGCCATGGCAACATCAGGATTGGCCATAATCTTTGAAATGACTTCTTCGGGAGAAAGCCCAATTTGATCTGATGAAAGTGATAATATAAAATGTTAGAAAACAGGAAAGGAGAATGTAGAAAGAAATAAAGAATTGATCCATCTCTCAAAAAAGACATCTCTTGTAAAATGTGAGACATACCAAATTGTTGTTTAACAGCAGGACTATTAAGGTCGAAATTCTTTAAGGTGTCCATCATTCGACTGTCCCATTCAGTGCCTCCACCCATGTTGTTTCTGAAACCAAATATATAGGAGAAAAAGAAAGGATGTGTGAATCCCTAGTGGCCAGAGAATACAGTTTACCAATATATTACTAGAAAATACATTGATTTATATAACTGCAGCACATAGAATGACACTTTAGTGAGAAATAACAAATAAGATTTACATTTCTCTGCAACTTTAGGTCTAAAATCAACGTAGTGACCATGAATCCAGTCATAAGTAAACTCAAACAAAAGGTTATTGTACAAAAGCAGAAGAATGGTCATTTAATTTCCTCCAGGACTGGCATTTATCCTAATTCCAAATGTTAGGTTCTGTTAGGTAAAGAATAGGGAGTCAGATTCAGTGTTAACAAATAGCAGCGCCATGGGCGCTATGATGGATATACATGGAGGTTTTTAGGCTCGACGTAATGGTAATTATCGGTCGATATTGCAGGTTTTTTTGCCATAATCCGCTACAATGGCGCCGCAGAGCGGCCGGTATGGCGGGATTTGGCTCTCCGCCATCGACAACACTGCTCAGACTTAACTAATAGATTTAACGGAATGGGGGGCTAATAGCCACTTGTACTTCACTGACAAATGAAAGAAATGATGACTTCAGAAAGAGGAAAACTAACTTTCCTTAGTGAATGTTTCCATTCACCAGAAAACTAGTTTTTGTATAATCGTCAGACAAAGCAATGTAAGTAAGCACTTCACCAAAAGCTTAGGGCCTTTTTATTTTATTTCATTTACCAAACCAAAGCACCACCTTTTCACTTAATTTTGTGTTTTCAAAGGTTTGCATATGAAACAGTGAAAATTCTATTGTTTTCATTGCTTCCTATAAGAAACTTTGAAAATAGAAAACAGAGGTAAGACAAGACAACATTTTTGTAATTAAGAGTGAATACAGAAAATGTTCCTTAAAAGCAAACAAACCTTTATGTTTACAAATAAAATCACCTAGATACATGGAGCAAGAAAATATCGGTGGACAAAAAAAGGCTTGGAAGATACTAGTACAATATAAAGAACTTACAGCATTTCTTCAAGTCGTTGACGGTACTCAGGATTCTGCAACATCCCTGCCAAAAGCAGCAACAGTACATCAACTATCCATCGGCCAAATTTATTAACATGTCATGTAGAAATTATCATCTAGCAGTTGAAAGTGACAAACATGATTTTGAGTTTTGATCAGCAGACTTAATTTAACCAACATAAATAGTGCTTCCATTATAATACATGGTACTAGTAATAATGAATGAAAAGACACCCATATAAATGTGTCGTATATAGGAAGTATTGTATATGTAAGTAACAATGAGTATGCTCAAATGTGGTTTTGTGTTAGTTATTTCAATGAAGGCACTAAACTAAGAAAATCATGGTGCCCACATTATAATCAATCTTAATAACATTGATTGACATTGCATAGAACCAGAAGCAAGAAAACTGTTAAGAGAATTACATTTAAAGGTAGAAGGCTTCCTCATCTCCTCAGGTAAATAGCTGCAACAGTGCCCACAAATTATGAGCCTTCTTTTGAATAAAAAGGAAAACAAATTGAATAATATAAACATTAAACAAGCATGCAAACATATAAATTTTTATCAAGGGGCCGTGACGCAAAACGCATCGGAAATCTGTTCGTTCATTTTGAGAATATAGGAATAGAGGGGAGAACCAACAAGTTCCACCCAATTGTAAGCAATTCAAAGAGCAGTAGGAAACCTAATACACAGTCTTTTGGAGATAAATGAGGTTAATTGGAAAGGGAAGAATTTAAACAGAAGCACTGGTTTTTGCGGAAAACTTTGGATGCAAAAACTTTCAATAGAATGTGGGAAATAAACAATAAAAGGCTCTGGTAGATCTTAAGACACGTCACAACTTCCAAAGTAGTTCAATATAAAAATACAGAATGGAACTACTTCTAAGTCCAATGTAGAGTATTATAGGTACTGTTGATACTTGGTACTACTGTCATACGCATTTCTAAGATTAGACAGAACAACACGCTTAAGCAATTTATGTAACCTTTTTTTATATGTGAAAGAAAGAATAGTATGATTACACATTCGAAGAAGAAATGCTAGCAAAAGTATGCACAGTGACCTTCCCCTGCACTGAATTCAAAATGTTAATACAATGTCGAATATTTGTAATGAAGGAGTTTTCCAAACCAACCTCCTCACAGACACAGTGACAGGAAAGTTACACACAAAACATGAGTATCAAATACTCCCATGGTCTTAATTCCTCAGTCCTCACATTGCAATCAGGTAGAATAAATAAATGAATGTATGTTAGAAAACATGCATATATTTCTCAAAACAAGAGAATCTCATCTAAGACTATAACCCTATAAACAAAAAGTGTGATCATTTTGCTGCAGATCTGAGTAGATCACAAATTTAGTACCAGACCTCAAGTTCAAAATGTAGTAGTAATAATAATGCATTATGCATATACATGATGTTAATTTTATGCATGCTTCTACCTTATAATGTAGCATAGTTGCTTCAAAAGAGAGAGGCTAATGCTACATTACATAATAACATGGCACTTTCAAATTTCTTTGGCTTCTAAATGCAAATTCAAATAGGTAAACAACAAACTGATTAATACCAGATCATCATCATCCAGGATAAGTCCCTTATCGCTTCCTTCTCGTTCCCTGAGTAATTTATTTTCTTCTTCAAGTTGAGCACAGCGCGCTTTAGCAAATGCTAAATCCGCTTTAACGGTTTTTAGCTCACGAAGAAGTAATTTTGCTTTTGCTGCTGTTGCCAATGCCACCTGAAATCAAAACAAAAGAAAATGTAGCTTGTTTGGTTACATAAGAATTTAACAGAACTTGGATAGTAGAATATGTATGTTCCATATGTGAACTAAATTTAAATTCATCACATGAGAGGGACTAAGAACAGATTCTACTAAGTTAAAATGTATTAACAATTCCAAAATCATTATAAGATGTTCTATCATCTATGCCTACACTATAACAACTAACGAGACTGCAACCATTATACATGATTACACAGTTGGCACCTTACGTCTCGGGATTGCTTAAGTTGTGTTTCATGATTAGAATGAGACTGTGTCTGATCTGATTGCTGCCATGGATTCCTTATACTTGAAGCTTGGTTTGTGTCACCTTTTCGCCTGATTTGAGATCTCAGGTCTGCTGTCTTACTCTCCACCATTGTTCTTCCATCCTGAGGAAATCAAAGAAGTTACATTGAAGATATATAACAATCATCGATGCGCACTATCAAACACATGAAATTCAGATAAACACATCAACAGATAGATAGATAGAGTTACCTCATAAGCCTTCTCACTGATGTTGTTTCCTGACTATTTGAAGAAGAAATGCTAGCAAAAGTATGCACAGTGACCTTCCCCTGCACTGAATTCCGAGCATGTATTACTTATGAATGCCTCTTCAGACATGAGTGCAAAACATTGAAATACATTCAATTTGCATGGAAATTTTCATTATAACTATGTCGATTCAACTTCAATTTCAATATAATTACATACATTTCATTCAAGTACATCATAACCTAATAACCCTATTTCTGGTAAGCAAAAATCATATTCATAAGATTACCAGATTTTAGATTTTGGTGAGATTTAGAAGCAGCCCTGGTGACATGAGAGGATGAAGAGTTAGCAGAAACGCGAAAAGTCCCAAAAGCGAAAGGCTTTCTTCTTGTGAAGACGTTTTTTGAGGAGGAATGTCCCAGAAGCAGAGGTTTAGGGGAAGAAACAAGGGCTAAGTTAAGATTCTCCATTTCGAAGGTATGAAAACCGAAAATTGACGAAACTAAGAAATTGGTGGTGGTTGTGAGATGAGGAAGCGAAAGAGGTTTGAAAATTTTGGGGGAACTAAAGATAGTTGAGAGTGGTCTGTGGCGGAATGAGAGTTTGGGTTTCGGGTTCCTTGTTTGCGGTAGGGATAAGTGAAAAATATCAATTTATGATTTGGAACTTGGATTGCTAGAGAATATACTAGCAAATAAAATGCAAGGTAAAAAAGTTTTTTAAAATGGGAAAAATGAAACACTGGTCTTTTAAAAATATAAAAAGAAAAACCAAAATCTACTTATCAAAAAACTCCATAAAAGTCCATGTGAGTTACCTCACTTGGATGGGATATTCTTAGATCTTAGTAAATATGAGTGGTTAGGGTGGCTCACGGTGGTAATAAACTTTATTTAGTGATATTTATAATGTTTACGGAGTAGAAAGTGAATTGATGTTTTATGTATTTTAAGAGCTTTTTAACTTTTTTACGGCGACGGGTGTTTTACCGTCGTGCCCATGAGAATTTTTAAAGGTTTTGGGTGCGACGGTTGTTTTACCGTCGTGAAATGAATTTTAGGACGGATAATTTTACCGTCGTGAAAGGTTTAAGGGTGCGACGGGTGCTTTACCGTCGTGATATGCCTTTTAGGACGGTTAATTTTACCGTCGTGACTAGTTGTTGGTGAAAAATCAATGTTAAAAGTGTTAAATGGGGGCCGACGGTTGTTTTACCGTCGTAATAATAATATTATGATGGTTAAATATACCGTCGCAAAATAAATATTAGGGACGGTTGGTGTCAACTGTCGTAAACACTGTCTCTATATGTCAATTACGACAGTTATCATATAACTGTCGCAATTTTTGTGTCGTTAAACACTAATTTTCTTGTAGTGGATCTTCACATTTATTAGTCAAACTTTTGGCAAGCGGGGTCTTCTCAAATAGGATCTCATAGCTATCCATCAGGCGTTGAATTCCTTTCTTCAGCCCTTCGCATCCATTGAGTTGTTTGGCATAGCAAACACAGTCCTTTACACAGCCAGGGAAAATCCCGGCTTTCAACTGATTATTTTTGATGATGTCTAATGGAGTAGTCAAATCTTCAACAGAGTCAATGAAAATGGTATCTTCAACAACATTGACACCCTTTCCATGATTTGGCATAGGCGCGGTGATTACATTCGGAGTTGGAGGAGGGTCAAATTCAATAGTCTTGTTATCAATCAAATCCTGAATTTTATTCTTCAGGGCCCAGCATTGGTCAGTCTCATGCCCGGGACTACTTGAATGATATGCACATTTGGCGTTCGGGTTATACTTTGGTGAAGAGGTATCTGGATTGGCAGGAGGATCACGCAATGTCACCAAATTAGCCTTTAGTAAGTGTTCTAAGGCTTAGGATAGTGACATGCCTATCCTCGAGAATTGTCATCTCGGTGTTTCAAAACATTGATGATTAGCAGATGGTCTTTAAGCAGGAATTGGATTGGAGATTCGGACAACATTAACTGTTGTACCCCAAAATTTTCCCTCCCATATTTCTCAACACATGGCAAGTGAGGTCCCCAAATTGCTCAAGGAAGTTCAAAAGTTGACCAGACAAACTCTCTCCTAAGGCAGTCTATCTCAAATTAGGGTTTCATTTTGCATCAAGATGATTGATTCCAAAGGGTCTCAAATGCTCACCATTGTCCTGACATGTTCTCAAGATCATCCATGTCAAGTTTCAAGCCTTGTAGAGGAAGTTTGCTCAGCCAATTGCTCAAAGGCTTGAAAATCGACTATGCTAGGTCAAAAGTCAATTGTGGCCCACACACAGTCAAACTTCAATATTTTTGGTCAACGTCCTCATTTTGAAGTATTATTCATCATTTGATCAATGGTTGATCATGATTCCTCAAGGATTGCTCACAATTCATGAAAACCCAAAAGTTGCCAAATTAGGGTTTGGCAGGAAAATTCAACTCAACTTTGACCAAGCATAACTTTCTCATGATTTATCATAAATGAGCCATCCAAAGCTCATTTTGAAGAGGATGAAATCCCCTACAATTCATCTTCATCTCCCAAGTTCAAAATATTCACTCACAAGAATATATGAATTTTGACATTATAGGCATTTTGAAAAGTCAACAAGAACACCTTTTGGGTCAAAGCTCCATACATGAACATGGAAGACTCAATAGAGATGATACCAAAAGGGTTGTTTAGGGGACATAATAAGCTTTCTAAAAAGTCCAAGAACACCTCTCTAGGGTCAAAATTGATAGAGTTATGCATTGTCCAATTTAACCTTTTTTGCAAAATAGCCAAAAGTCAAATGTGCTCAAATTTGCATCTTTTGCTAAATGGGCCCAACTTTTTATGCTTGCATCTCATCTCTAACATAGTCCACGACCTATGGGACCCTCCATGCGTTATTTATTCATTTATTTAATTTATTTTTATTTTTATTCATTTAAAATTCAAATAAAATCAAATAAATCCTAATAAATCATATATTATATTTTAGGGATGATTTTTTGCATTGAAAGAAGATCTTATATGCTGTCAATTGAAGATCAACTCGTGAAAGGTCAATTTTGTTGGAAAAAGATTGGATTTGATCAAAATTGGAAAGGAATCATATTCCATGAAAGATCAAATCAAATCTCCATGATGAGAAAGATTGAGGTCGTTTTTGTTGACCAAATAGTTTGTAGTACATATACAGAAGGAGACCAATGCATAAAGAGGTTGGAAGCAGTCGTTCAGAGGTGAAACAAAACTCAAAAATATTCAATAAAAGTGGTGATTCAATTTCCATATTAGAGGCCAATTCATACCATTCTCACGACACCAACAGGTTCTTGGACATCTCTAGAAGGAATTCCAACTATTTGCAAGCTCTCTCACGCCTGGAATTGTAGGACATAGGTATCACGAATTTCTTCTAAATTCAAATTCAGTTTCATTGATTTACTCATCCTATGCATATTTTGATTGTATATTCGTGTTTATCATTAAGTTTGCAAACGATTGGTACCATTTAATTGCATTTCTAACGCCTGTACAGGATGTTGCCATAGCTAGGGTTTTGTATTCTTGATTAGGGATTTGCAGGATAGGCAAAATTAGGCGTTGATTATGGTACCATGAGACTCGTGAGGATGAAACGAGTTGATTGGTACCAGCCATGGCCATTTATCTTGAGCACACATGATTTTTGAAGTACACATGGATATACCTACAGTAAGTATCTGTAGGTAAAAGCTTGCCATCTAAAACGACGGTTTGGGAGGAAGGCGATGATGCGTGTTATCCCCTGGTTGGGTGATTTGAATTTGGCGCGTTTTGAATTAAAACGTTTTGTTTTTATTATATCATAATTGATTTCCATTATATATTCAAACAAACCAATTGGCTCAGTTGGTAAGCGTGTAGGGGAAAAGTGCAAAGGGCCTGGGTTTGATTCCCAGGTCCCAACCTTCATTCCTAATATTCTTTAATAGGTAATCCAACGTTTTGCAAGTCAAGAGGCTCACCGTGTACCATCAGGATCTGGCCCTCCAATTCATCAATGCCCCAGATCAACATACCACCATGGGAGGACCACCATGCGCCTCAGTCAAGCATGCACACTGGATTGGGGCGAAGTTAAACAGGCCTTAGCCATTTGGGCCCAGGAATTTATATTTCAACCCACCTCAATTGATGAACAGCACCAGGCCCATTGCTAATCCTTTTTATATTTCTTTTCTTTATCATTTTTTTATTCTTTTAATTTCTTTTATTTGTTTAATTTACAAATTAATTTATTTTTTCACAAAAAAAAAACATAAAATCAACAACTCGCCAAAATTAGGATTAGTCTTTTTTTATTATTCTCATCAAAATTAATTTAATTTAGGTTTAACTTAGAGAAGTTGTAATTTATTTTCATAAATAAAAATCAAAAATAGAAATTAGGTTAACTTTTAATTTTATTTTTCTCTTTCTATCAATAAATAAAAACACAAAAATAGGTTTTTAGAATAAATTAGTTTATTTTCCCTAATTTAAAATTAATTAGAATTAGGATTTTATTTTTTAATTTAATTGTTTCCTTATTTTTCTTAAATAACAAAACATTACAAAAAAACATTTTATCGCAAATAGGTTTAGTCAAGGGTCAAAACCCTAGTCGTTTCATATTTAATTCATCACCCGCTTGTTAATTATTTTTGCCAATATTTTTGTAACTGCTCATGGTTTGTAATAGTTAATTTAGGGTTTTATTTACTGTTTAAATTTCCGGGTTTTTGGCTATGTAATTAATCCCCCTCCCCGAAGCCTCGTAATAGCGTAGATTTACTTTCTCGCATTTTTTTAATTCCTGCAAATATTAAACTGTTTAGATGTATGCTAATAGGATTGTATGACAAGAATGCATGACAAATTAATACGGTTAAAAGACCCTAAAGTGCAAAGATAAATAACTGAAACAAATCACTCGCACATATCACTCTTAGGGTATGCTCTCATTTCGGTTGCCTCCGGTAAACGATCATTAAGCATAGGGTGTCTTAGTGGTAACCCTCCAATCTAAAAGATCAAACGTCCCATTCGAATGTTGCCTCGGAAATGTTGTCTCGAATATGATCTTAAGACTCTAGGGTTATTACTAAAGTGTCCTAACATTGCTTTAGTGATCGTACGTCCCTTTTGAATTGACCCTTACAAATTCCAACAACGGCGCTACCTATTTCTCAATAGTAGGATAGCGCTGTCTAAAGGAACAAGAATAGAAATGATCTTTTTTTCGAGTAGGTAGATGCTAGTAGGTACTTGCTCAAATCAAAAACTTTTCACACTCACACTTTTTAAAACAATTTTTAAAACAAACTTCGTCACACCCTTGAGGACTGATACAAGGGTTATCACGAAGTAAAACATTTTCAAAACAAGCACACACACAAGCAATTTTAAAAAAATATGAGCAAGTACCTAAGAGCCCATGGAAAAC